CTTCTTCGCCTTCTTCGCCTTCTTTTTCTCCTTCTCCTTCTTCTTTTTGAAGATTTACTTAGTTTTTATGTTCGTCGGTGTTTTGCCTGCCTGTATGTCTGTATGAGGGTGCTAGATCCTCTGGAACTGGAATTACAGACAGTTGTGAACTGCTATGTAGATGCTGAGAATGGAACCCAGGTCTTCTGGGAAAACAGCCATTGCTCTTAAGCACAGAGTCAGCTCTCCAGCCCCAACTAGTAGATTCATCCTTCCTTCCTTCCTTTCTTTCTTTCTTTCTTTCTTTCTTTCTTTCTTCCTTCTTTCCTTCCTTCCTTCCTTCCTTCCTTCCTTCCTTCCTTCCTTCCTTCCTTCCTCTCTCTCTCTCTGTCTCTCTCTCTCTTTCTTTCTTTCTTTCTTTTTGAGACGGGGTTTCCTCTGTGTGCAGCCCTGGCTGTTCTAGAACTCACTCTGTAGACTAGGCTGGCCTCTAACTCATAGAGATCTGCCTTCCCCTGCCTCCCGAGTGCTGGGATTAAACGAGTGCACCACCACCGCCCAACTGTATTCCTAATCTATTGCTTTTCCTTTCTAGTTCGGACACTACTTTGAACCAACGTATGATGCGAGCTACAACAGCAAAAAGCCACAATCAGCCCATAGTAGGTGGACTCACCTTACTAATTCTTAGCACCCAGCTTAGTTCCTGGCAGGTAGAAGGAACTCAAAAGTAAACTGAATGTCTAAATAAGTGAACAATTTCTCTTGTTTCCATTTTGACAGTACTAAAAAATACTTCGGAGCTCTGTTACTAAAATGCCTTGTTGACTGTGTACCCGTTTTTCTTTCCTTAGGATTTAAGCGAGAGCCTCATTGGTTCCCCGGACACCAGCCGGAGCTGGATCCTCCTCACTACAAATGCACTGAGAAGTCAACTTTTATGAATGGCTATTCAAAGCCTCTACCCACTCATTACTCTTGGTGTGTATGTGATCCAAACATGGAGCGATCTAAGGATCTGAGAATCTAAGAGAAAAGCAGCATCATTTTTGCCTGCAGTAGACTGTAAAAAGGAGCATGTTTTAAGCAGACTCAGACTTCACTCTTAACACAGATTCTGTCTAAATAAACCATGGGACACCAAAGAACAAACAAAATCTCTATTTGTTTACTCTAACTGTCGTAGTGCGTTTTTATCAACACAAACCTAGACAGACATGTCTGGGGAGAGGGAATTTTAATTGAGACATTACCGCCATACAATTAACCTGTAGCCAAGCCTGTCATGAGTACATTTTCCTGATTAATGGCGGCTATAGGAGGGCCTGTCCTACGGGTCGGTGCCACCTGGATTCTAGCAGCAGGCAGGCTGACCAGGCCGTGGAGAGCAAGCCAGTAAGCTGCACCCTCCACGGCCTCGGCACCAGCTTCCCAGCTCCAGTTTTCTAGCTTGAGCTCCTCCCGGACTCCCTGGGCGATGAACTTAAAGCCATAAACTGAAACAAGTTCTTTCCTCCCCAAGTTGCTTTTGTCCGTGGTGTCTTAGCACAGTAATAGAAACCCCACCTAAGAATATATACACAAATATATATATGACAACAATTTATAGGGGGGGAAGGTCGTTAATTTGAAAAAGAACAAGGCCAGGGCGGTGGTGGCGCACGCCTTTAATCCCAGCACTTGGGAGGCAAATGGCAGGCAGATCTCTGAGTTCGAGGCCAGCCTGATCTACAAGAGCTAGTTCCAGGACACAGTCTCCAAAAAGCTACAGAGAAACCCTGTCTCGAAAAACCATAAAAACAAAACAAAACAAGGAGGGGTATCTGGGAAGATCTGGAGGAAGGGAAGGAGGAAATGATGTCATTATAATTTCAAAAATTAAATAATTTGTTTAACCAATCAAAGGGTTTCATGCCTGCTAGGCAAGCGCTCCACCGACTGAGGTACTTCTCCAGCTCTGGGCTTTACTCTTAGGAACAGGTGTGGTAGCATGTCTGCCTCTCCAGCCTTTGAGAGGCTGCAATAGACACCGTACCCAAGGCCAGCCTCAGCTCTCTATACACAAGGAGTGGGGCTGTGGCTCCTTTGTAAGGCACTTGTCTAGCATGCTTAGGACCCCGAGTTTGTACCCCAGTACCAGAGTGAAGCAGGGAGAGGAAAAACAAAGCCCACCTAAGAACACTCAGGAGGCTGAGGCAAGAGCACACCTGGCAGTTTGAGGCCTACCGGTGAGGGTTACTTCGTGGATCCCAGACAAGCCTAGACTGCAGAGTGTGATCCTCTCTCTTTGGGTTTTTTGAAGATTTATCTTATGCCTATGGTGCTCTCTCTGCATATACACCTTCTTACCAGAAGAGGGCACCAGATCTCATTACAGATGATTCTGAGCTACCTTGTGCTTGCTGGGAATTGAACTGGGGACCTCTGGAAGAACAGCCAGTGCTCTTAACCACTGAGCCATCTCTCCAGCTCCTGTATGATCCTATCTTTAAAAAAAAAAAGTACGTCTTCCAAATGTGCAAACATTCCTCTCTGCTTTCCATCGGGGGCAAGTATGAAAAACCTGACATAGCTTCTATATTGCCAGGAACATTCCTGAAGTCAGTCAGACAGACATAGCCTGTCCTTACTGAGTAACCCCTGCTGAGGACTGTGGGAAACAACTCCCCTACTACAGACAATATGGAATATATTGACTTTATTTTGGAACATATCTCAGGAGTATAGTTTTATCTCAATAATTTCTGCATCTATCCAAAAAATAATAAAGGAAAGACAGCCAGTTGTTAACTCCTCCTCCGAGAGCACTGAGGAAATCTGTTAATCAAACAAAGCTAAGCTTGCTGAACCTAGGAGATCAAGGAGTAGCAGCCTAACCCCGGGTCTTAGTGGCTCAGAAAGATGCTGGAGTGAGCTCCTGATCTGAGGGAGGTCTGCGAAGCGGTGAGTGGGGAGGTTGGAAGAGAACCGTGAGTAGCTCAGTCGGTAGCTGTAGGGAGGCTTTTCTTTATTGTAATATTTTGGTTTCTAGTTCAATCCCCTTACTCCAGTGATGTGTTTATATAGATACTCTTTCTTCAGGACTTCTTTGGGTAAATTATATGTATGGTGGGATTTTCCTGTTTCATCTGTGTTTTCAGGACCTGGCAAGGTGTCAGAAACAAGGTGCTCCGTCTCCTTGATCCTCAGGTGACAGCACATATATCATTAGACTGTCTCCAAACAGCCCCAGCTAATCCCTACACAACAAGGTCGAACAACTGATTGCAGGCCACTAAGGGGTGATCTAAAAGGGAGGAATTGAGAACCCCCGGTGCTCTCGGAGGAGGAGTTAACAACTGGCTGTCTCTCCCTTATTATTATTTTTTGGATAGACACAGAAATTATTGAGATGAAACTGTACTCCAGAGATATGTTCCAAAATACAGCCAATATATTTCGTATTCTCTGATCTAGAGGAGTTGTTTTCTTTTCACAGCCTCAGCAGGGGTTACCCAGTAAGGACTGGCTTTGTCTGACTGACTTCGGGGATGTTCCCAGCAACACAGGAACGGAGAACTTTATACATAGATTTTTATCTGGCAGACTCCGTTGAGCTCTGTTTTTCTGGCGTTCGTGTCTTTGTTTTGTCAGATTATATCTTTGTAAATGACAGTTCTGTCTCTAACGTTGCAACTTTTACATCTGTTCTAATGTGGCATTGGTCAGAGTCTGGAGAGCAGAGTCCAGGATCAGGTGTGATCGTGGCCCCTCATCTTGCTCAGCATATCAACCGGAATGTATATAAATTCTCTCGGGCAAGCGTAACATTTATTCTAGATTTTCACTGTACCTGACATTTATGAGTATAAGGAAATTCCTTTCCTTTCTTGTCAATAATTTTTCTCTTGACCTATGGTGCCCTGAAACTGTATCCATGAAGGTGGAGGTTCTGTCAAACCCTGTGGCATCTGGCTGATTGTCACTTGACTTTCTTACTCTGCATTTGGCCTCTTGCTGCGATCACTGGGGCTCTCTCCTCCTCCATGTCGTTTTAAGCTGTCTTCTCTTAAGCTAGAGCAGCCTTGCCAATGGCAAACCGAACCCTTCAGCTCTCTTCTCTTCCTCCAGTCCCTGGATCCCTGTTTCTAAGGCCCTCTTTGTGTTAGCAGGCTCCGGTGGCCACTGTCTCTTTCCTGGCCATCATTCTCTTGGTTTCCACGACTGTGGCAAGCTGTTTCTTCCCATTTCTCTGATTGCTTCTTGGGTTGTTTTATGAGCTGACCTTTCTACATAGGTCCTTTAAATTTTCCTTCCCAATTGTTGTTGTTTGTCCTTTTCCCACGCTTCGTGCTAATCCCAGGTGATAGCTACCAACTATCCTGCCTTTAGCTAATATTATGTGCTTGCATATTTCTATCGTAATTTTTAATTATATTTATTGTGTGTGTGTGTGTGTTTTCACACAAATGTGTGCCACAGTGTACTTCTGTGGGTCAGAAGACAACTTGTGGGAGTTGGTTTTCTTCTTCCACTAGGTGGGTCTCAGGGACGGGACTCAGGTCCTCATGCTTGGCGACGAGCACCTTTTCCCACCGAGCCATCTCACTGATGCGCTTCCAGATTCTCAGTGTATGCTTCCATCCCAAATGTGTCCCAAGAGCAGTACATCGAAATAGTCAGCCACTTTCTGAATGTCTTCATCTGAGCTCCCAAAGACACTACATATCTAAACGATTCATAATGCTATGTCTTGCAAAGTTTCCCCCACATATATCTTGGTGAATTTCATAGCTCTTTATATATCTTAATCACTTTCTAATTCTTAATATTGCGTATTACACAATAAGCCCACCGTGCAGTTGTCAAGAACACAGAGTAAGGAATTGTTTTAGGGTTTCCTTTCTCGTCCAGATAGATTCATGCCCTGTTCATTTTATGTCCCTGTGATCTACGTTCCTGTCTTTGACATCTGTGTTACCTTTGTCACATTCCCAACTTCAGTTTGCTGAAATCCTTTCTGATGCTCCCACTTCCCATATCCTGTCTACTCCTGCATCTCTGTATTTCATTGTAGTAAGTGTGAAAATACTAGGTTGTTCGTTCCACTCCCTTGATTTCGTTCCGTCATTGGCTTCTGTTGCTTTCCAGGTAAATTCCAAAGTGTTGGTAGAGCCCTTTCCCGTTGCTTCTTTTCCCACACTCCTTTCATACGCCTAGCTCTCCAACCGGACCAAAATACCCGAGCACTCCACGCTCTTCTCTTCCTAAAGTCATGCTCCTCCCATGTACACCTTGCCATCTTCTAAACCATTGAGAATGAGTAAGAGACAAGGGTTACAACCCAGGGTTAAAGTGAGTGCTTAACATGCCATTGGCTCTATCTCCAGCACAAAAACCAAAACAAATGCAGTTATGAACTGCCAGACACCTCATTATATAATTATAACAAACAGAAAAAGCACCAGGTGGTGGTGGCACATACCTTCCCTTTAATCCCAGCACTCGGGGTGGGGGTGGGGGTGAGAGGCAGGAGGATCTCGGTGAGTTCGAGGCCAACCTGGTCTACAGAACAAGTTCCAGGACAGCTAGGGCTACACAGAGAAGCCCTGTCTCAAAGGTAAGAAAGAAAGAAAGAAAGAAAGAAAGAGAGAGAGAGAGAGAGAGGGAGGGGGGGGGGGGGGGGGGGGGGGGGGGGGAGGAAGGAAGGAAGAAAGGAAGGAAGGAAGGAAGAAAAAAGGCCAAAAAAAAACAAAAGAAAGGGAAAAGCAAGTAGTAGTGCAGAAATGGAAAAATTAGAACTTGAATACACTGCTAGTAAAAATGTAGAATGATACAGGTGCTGTGGAAAAGAATTGGCAGTTCCTCAGAGAGCTAAATGTATTTTTTTAAAAAAACATTTTTTTAAGAAAAATGCATGTGCTTGAACACACACACACAGTTTTTAAAAAGTTAACGTAGAGTAATCTTATGACCAGAAATTCTACTTACCTTTATGCCACAAGGAATTAGAAACACTTATAAAATAATAACTCTATGTTAATGGCAGCAATATCGATAATAATTGAATAGTAGACACAGCAACTGATGCTGGATAAATAATGTATGCTGAATAAAAAAATCCAGCAGCTGATGAAGGATGAATAAAATATGGTATATTTATTCAGTAAAATTTATTTGTCATGAAAAGGACAA